TGCAGGTGAACTGGAAAGACTCGCGGGGTGGGTCGGGGGTGCGGTGGGGGGTAACTTCTTATTGCAAGAATTTTATGTGTTTTGTCCGCTCTACGCCTTTTCAGACATAGAGTCAGAAGTGTTGCTAAAGAAGAAGCCACAGAATTTCTCATCCAAGAACAAAACTTTGTTAGTCTTAAACGATCACACATAATAAGGGTCAGGAGCTTTCTTTTGTTTATGTTGCTGTTGAGGCTGAAAAGTAATCATTGGTTGAAAGATTAAATCGGCGGCGTTAATCAATGAGCTAATTTATCAGGCCAAAAATATACACATTCTCTGGTTACAGCCTCCTCCAGTAATGAGGATTTGCTGCTCATTTCTTGTTTTATATCACTGTAAATCTGATATGAATATGTTTGGGTGTTGGACATTTACAGACTGTAAATCCAGTGTAATAATCGACGAAGATAATTGGCAATTAATCATTAATAAAGAATAATCATTAAGTGGCAGCTGTGTTTTCTGATTTCCAACATATTGGCTGCACTTTTGGCCATGTCAAGACCAAAACATGTTAATATTATCAATACTAGATAAAATATTTTTATTTTATGTATGTTTTTGAATTCATATTTTAATATAAATCTTAAATTAATTTACATGATTATGACAGTGTTTTAAACCTTATTTTAATCCTGAAAACTTTTTCACCTTGTGTGGACTTTAAGAATGTTAAAGCCTCTATCAAGGGATAATGATTATTTTCATTATTACTTACTCTGCAGTTATCTTCTTGATTAATCGTTATGGCGGCCTCATTATAGATGTTCCACAGTCTAAAGTGGCATTTTCATCTGTTTTCTTTGACCACACAAGCTGACAGGCCATCTGATCTCACGTTTAAGAAGATAAAATTAGTTTGCCCGTTAATCTTCTGATATCTATTAATCAAACTAATTGTTGCAGCTCCTACAATTTGTCACATTCTTAAAGACTTTTTATTTATCCATTTAAAAACATTCTTTATAATTATCATATGTCTGTGAGGTTTGTGTTGCTCTTTGTAGCGCCAAAAATTTTTTGCTGCAGCCCCGGTGCCAGCTAATGAGTCATCTTGGTTTGTGAAATCAAACTAAAATTCTCTCTCTGCCTTTTGCTTTGTGTTTTTGCAGATTAACAGGTATGCCAAAGAAAAATATGATCCCCCAGATCCCCGTAGATGTTACAAACCATCATGTCAGCCGAGGAGGCGGCCAGTGGGAAGAAGTCTCACTGGGCCACGAGCTGGAGATATCTGTCAAGTCTTAACTAATCTCCTTCTGCGTCTGCTTCTGTAGCTACAAACAGTTTAGAGTGAAAACCGTCAACGTCCAGGTGAAAAAGTCAAAAATAATCCAAATGTGTTGTTCTAAAGAAAACAGTAAAATAGATCTCATACTGGTTTCCTGTGTGCTGGCTCCAGTTCTCCCAGTGCTTGAAGGACAAACATTTTAAAAAAGTCAGTGAGTGATGAGCAAGAATATAAAGGCTGCAGTGTTGTTCTTCATTGTGTGCTCGCTGTTTCCGATCTCAACCGAAAGCATCTTGACCATTTTTTTCTTTATCTCACTCACACTGAAGTCAGGTGTTTTTATATGTGTGGCGCTGCAAACTGAAGCTGAGCTGGACTTCCTAACGTCTTGTGTTGCGAGCGCAGCTGAGCAGCAGATTGAATCAATAAGGAAATAAAGTTGCAGCCTTTACTGAAAGATGAATATTTCTTCCACCCGCTGTTGATTAAATGAGTGCCAGTTAAATTAGTGATTATCTGTAAAGCACATAAATGACCCCAAGACCTCAGTTGTGGAATCGACAACCTCAGGCAGAATCACAGAGTTTCGGAGTTCATAAGTGAATGAATAAGAAACTGAAAGAAATGTTAATCGTTAAACTTCCCAAGAAACCCCAGATTAAGTTAATAATTAACATGAGGTTTCTTGCTGTAGTTTCCAATATCAAACAATAAGTCAGTGTCATTCACTT